TTCAGGTTCTGATTATCTAAATATAGCATTGCGATATTTGAGGGGTCAGATGTCTAACATCCTGGATTAACACTCTATGCAATTATGCCTCATACATTGCTTCAAGGGGAAAAATACAATGGGGAACTGAGCAGGTGGAGATCGATAAATCTTCAAAGTTTCCCTCCTTTCCAAAGCAGTTGGATAATTCTATATTATCCTATGCACTGTGTGTTAAACAGAATTAATCCTAGTTTATCTATGTTATACTGATCACCAGGAGTAAATACCAAAATATACAGAAGAGATTAGTGGGGCATAAGATCCCATAAATGCATGATATTAAATATTTATTTAACATCATGGGTTTCTGTGTGTATATTAAACATTTGTTACAACATTTGATAAACTTTAATTCAACAAACCACACAAATCCTTAAGCAAAATTTCTTCTCACATTTGTTGAGAAGGAAATTGGGCTCTTTGAGATGCTTTCCTTTTTCGGTGTAAGGGGGACTACTTAACAGGGTATTTTCCCATTAAGAAAATGAAAAGGAGGAGCAGCTCCCGACAGGAACAGCTTCAGCTCATGATTCATTCATGGCTCAGTGCCAAAACTGTAGACTCCAGAGGAAAGGTGCCCTGCTTTTTAAAAACCACAAAGACATGAATGATTTACTGAGGACTGAAAGAAAAGGCTTTCAAGATTGTCCTGACTAAAGGGGAAACTTTCTGAAGTCCTGACCCTTGAAAAATTTACAGTGCAAGTCATAAACAGTTGGAATAAGTTAGCCTGGCCCCTCCAACCCATTAATCAGGGTGCGATTTCCTCCTTCCCAAGGGTAAAGTAAGAACTAGGGCTTGTTGTTTGTTTGTCTACAAAAACACATTTGCCATAAACAGTATGCAGATGTCTCAGGTACATGACACACGTGGGAGAAATAAAATTATGATTATGGCCAAGTTTTATAATAAAAGCAACACCTGTAATGTGAGAGACTGTGCCATTTGTCTTCCTGGCGCTGGCTCTACAAAGAACATCTGCTGCACATAAAAGTGTTTAATTAGCTGTAGCACAGAATGTAACTTTTTTTGGCCTCCAGAATATTGTGTTCACCCTTGCTCCTCAATCAGGTTCAACATGAAGGCAGACAAATTCTTTATCAAGATCCAGGGTCAACCTCCATGCACCCTCTGATCTGATCATATTTCTTCCAATGTTTGACCTGTATTTTTCATGAGAATGATCTCTCCCCAAGTGGCAACTAAAGTAAATGTTGGAGATTCATTTTTATTGTGATTGGTCACCCTCAAGTGTATATGCTTACCCACGTTGCCTCTCTTATGAAAGTGGATATATGAAGTGTGAGTATGCTTGCATATAAAAATAAACAAGTTTTAATATGTGTATCGGTTCACACTTCAAAAATAAAAATCGATCTATAAATTATTGGGAATCCCTTTGGCACAGTAACCTATGTAGCTACCCAATGACAATAGGGGAGAATATGTGTTATCTAATATCCCAGCATATGTATAGCATCTTTAGTCCATGTTTCATCAACTTGGTTTACTCTTAACTGTATTATGCATGATAAAGTACACTGATAGTCAAAAGTGTCAACAACAGAATAAAGCATAACAACATTCCCATAAAACTGCTTATTAGTTTAGAAATAGGTTTTAGTTTACTGATAAGGAACTTTAAGGGATTTTAAAAATAGCATAAAAATCTAAATACAACATTAATAAGCTATAAAACGAACAACAGAATGGGTCAAAATGCATATCAGCCCTACATACAAATTCACAAAACTGCAGGGGGCATGATGTGAAAAATATAACCTGGGGCACCAAGAAAGAAAGGAGGGGTTAAATTAGTTATTCAAAAAATAATCAATACCTCCACTTCATTTGGATTTCAGTTCCTAGATCTTACAAATTGCATTTCTCTGAGTATGAAACAATAAAGCTCCAATGGCTTTCTTCTGCAGGCTTGATTTTTTACTGGTGCAAAGAGATATGCTAGACAAGCCTGGTTGGTGCTCAGGAAATGCTATAATGGGGAGCCTATAGGCGCTTGTACCCAAGTCCGTACAGAAAAAAAATGGGGGGGGGGGGGTTTGAAACAATTTTAAGTGAATCATGAAGAGTAGGTCCATAACACAAAACAATTTAAATCATATGATTTATTCTATATTTTTACATAGACTTAACTAAATCAAATTTCTATTTTAGTTGCAAAGTTTTAAGTCTTTAAAAAAACACCTGAAAATGACTCCTAATCAGTAATTTAGGGTTACAAAAGAATACCACAATGTCTGTTGGAAACAATTGAAAATTCTCAATACATTTTGACAGAAATACACTCCAGCAAACAAGTCCAAGTGCAAGTCCATTCAGTCTCTCTTGCCCCATTGTGCTTATGTATGTTTTCAAATGTTTAAGAGTTGAAAACCATCTTTCATTTGTAGCTGTTGACACTGGAGATGTTGTAGAAATCTGTGGAAGTTTCTTCACATTTGGAAAAAAGCTGTCTATCAAAGACAAGATAAGTTTCCAGTGCATTTGATGGTTTTTCTGCAGGTGTAATCTTTTTCTATTTTCTACACCACTGGTCAAATTTTTCAATCAGTGTGTCAGTATTTTGAAGGCATTCATTGTAAAGTTCTGTGCACTTGTTCAAGTTGGATTTTAAATGGCCGCAATTAATAGGAAGGAACACTTACAGTTCTTAAACTACTTCCCTGTGCTTTGTAAACCTTTCTTGAGGCTGACTGCAGAAAAAGTCCAGAAATGGCATGTACACATTTTGCCTATAATGTTCAATTGGTGTTGGTGAAGTTGCTTGAATGTTGCTTACACAAGTCTGCCTTGAACAGATGTGAGGAACCCTAACTTCTCCACCCATAGACTCCACCACTGATCTTGCTGTGTCAAAGATCTCCTGAAATTCTTTCACAGATTCTGTGCCCATCTTTTTCTAAGAGACTGTCAACATGTTGCAGACTACCAAAAATGTCCATATCTACTCTTCGTAATGTTTTGCTATGCTGAAGGGATGATGACAGAAGCTTTCTTAGGATGTGTATAGTTACTACAAATTCAGTCATGTGGATCACTAGGACATCTAGAAATTGCAATTTTCCTTCATTTTATTTTTCCATGGAGTTTGGGTGGATGTTGTTGAGGTGGTCCAGAAACTGGTTTAGTTCTTCTTTTCCAGGGCTCCAAATGGTGAAGGTGTCATCCACAAATCTGAACCATAAGTAAAGGTAAGGGTTTTCCCCTGACATTAAGTCTAGTCATGTTCGACTTGGAGGTTGGTGCTCATCTCCCTTTCTAAGCCGAAGAGCCGGTGTCCCTAAACACCTCCAAAGTCATGTGACTAGCATGACTGCATGGAGTGCCGTTACCTTCCTGCCTATTAATCTTCTCACATTTGCATGTTTTCAAACTGCTGGGTTAGCAGAAGCTGGGGCTAACAGCGGGAGCTCACACTGCTCCCTGGATTCGAACCTGCGACCTTTCAGTCAACAAGTTCAGCAGCTCAGTGGTTTAACCCACTGCACCACTGGGGGCTCCTGAACCATATAGTTAGCTTTTTTTGTTGCTGTTTCCAGGATTGTTTTTCAAAGTGTTCCATGTAGAAATTTGCTATGACCGGGCTGAGAGGCCTCCCCATGGCTACTCGATCTTTCTGTTCATAGAATTCATTGTCCCACTGGAAGTAGCTTGTGGTGAGGCAATAGTGAAACAGGACTGTGATGTCTTCTGGGAAATTCTGGTTGATTAGTGTGATGGTGTCTGCTACCAGGACCTTGGTAAATAGAGACACCACATCAAAGTTGATCAGTTTGTCATTGGTGTTGAGTTAGATGTCGTAGTCATCTGCAAACCAAATCAACAATTGGGTCACACAGTTTACAGAAAACGTACACATACAGATAGATACCTAGTACAAACTCCAACCACAACCTAAGAAAAAAAGAAGCAGACAGTGCAAAAAGAATCTGTGAACCTCACTTCCTCCAAGGTGAACTAAACTACCTAAACTGGGCTCTACTGGCCAATGGATACTCCAACACAGACATCAGAAGAGCTGCAAGACCAAGAACAAGTAAATAAAGAACAACACTCAAAAAACGGGCATTCCAGACAGGAAACTATCAGGGCCAGCTAATACCTCCCAATAAAAGCATTTCCCCCAGACAGAAGGCAGCTAGGCTTCGAAGCTGCAAGGCTGTTCAATGCTAATCAAGCTGGCCATCTGCAACATTCACACTTGCCTCAAACAGACATGAGTTCTTTCTCCCACCCTGGACATTCCACGAATATATAAACCCGATTTGCCTAATTGTCAACAGACCTCACCACCTCTGAGGATGCCTGCCATATATGTGGGTGAAACATCAGGAGAGAATGCTTCTGGAACATGACCACACAGCCTGGAAAACTCACAGCAACCCAGTGATTCTGGCCATGAAAGCCTTTGACAGTACAGAGAGAGAAGAGTCTGCTGATGGAAGAACCTAATAGTATTTTGTGGAACTGCATAGGATTAAAAAGTTCAGAGTTTGATGTGTAATGTAATTATGTATTCGTATAATAAATGTACACTTGTGTATCCTTTTTTTTACAACCTTGTGTGGCTGTTCCTGTTAAGTTTTAGTGCTAGAATCTTCTACATCCTAATATCATTTGAAATTATAATTCAGCCTCCCTAAAGATGGCAATATAGGAGAATTTATTCTACCATAGCACATTTCTAAGTCAAACGGAGAATGTTCAGTAAAGAATGATCAGTTGGACTACAACCAAGCTAAAAGGAATTGTGAAGCTATTTATCATGGTGTAACTTTTTAGAAGATAACTTTCCTATTTCTCTGGCTCAGACTTACAATGTCCGTTGTGCCACTTCTCTTTACATTCAACTACCGCCAGCAGAAAAGCCCTAAAACACATCTTGCTGGCATTGCTCATCTTACTGTAGTGAACATCTATGTAAATAAAAACATCTATTGAGGAAAACAGCTTTATTGTGGGAGGAGAGCATGCAATGGACAAGAAACAGCCAAGAGAAACAAATCAAAACATCCTCATTGAAACTATGTATATATTGGGGCAACTGCCATTATTTGAATCTCCTTTTAACAAAAAAGGTGCCACACAGATAGCTATATGTCTTTCGTAGGAGAGTTGGCTACATCAGCTTTGAACAAATAAACAAATGTTTTCCTTTGGGAGGCAGTAAATTTGGGGTGCTGATGAATGAAAGCAGCCTACAACAAGAAAACAGACCCCTGGTTTTAACCACAGGCTGACATTAAAAGCCCTCTGAAGTGGCAATATCCCAAAACCTTTTAATTATGCATCTACACACAACCCATACACACATGATTGGACCCAGAAGCTCAGCTATAACCCGGCCTTGTTTTGAAATATGACCCACTCACCAATATTTGGCTGTGAATTATGCTGCTGTCAGCTATGTCTTAAAAACAAAACAGCTGACCTTTTTGCAATGTTACTTGACACAACGCTCTGCATAGCAGAGAACGACAAGGAAAAGCACTTAGTCCAGCCATTCCGTTTTTTTTGAAGTTGTACGAGTAGACCATAAAGAGCTTTTGGTGAAGACAAAGATGAAATAATAGTCACTTGCAGAAGAACTAATACAAAAACAGTTATCAGGGAGAATTCAAAAATTTCAGAATGGGTGATAAAGGATATTCTGAAGGACTTAAAAGCCATAATTACATACACAACACACATTTAAAACCAGTTGACTCTGGAAAGGCAGAGAAGAGACTGTTCTAACAGGCATTGAGGGGAAACCCCTTTCCAGATATTCTTTGAGGAAGCAGCAAATGAAGATCTCTGTTTATCTTCTCTGCAAGCCTGTCCGTGTATAAATAGCACAAACAAGTTTCTGCAGATTCTAAATTTTCCAAGGCAAGGTGATGCAACTTCCTGTAGAATTGGAATAACCTTTATCCACAAGAAGATCAGCTGATTTCTTTGAAGAAGTCCAAACCCACAGTCATCACCTCCTTCTTAGCCATCCTTTTGTCATTTTGTAGAGTTTCTTCAAGCTGTAAGTCACCGACTTTTTCACTCCTTGAAGATAAAAAAAGCAATAGAGAGGTTTGAAGAACAAATGATGTAGAATTTAACATAGCATGACATAGTCCTTTACATTCAGAGGCAAGTAGTCTTTGCTTCATCCTAGCCATGCCAGTTTGCAAAAAATTTCAGATATAGACAGACATTTGTGTCTTTACGTGGTCACTATTGACACTGCCGTGCAACAGAGTCAAGAATCACCAGACTTTCACTTTAAATGGCCATTTCTATTGTATTCTTCTTAGCTTGCAAGCTGTTGGTTTTTCCACCTTTAAATTTATCTACAATTTAAACTCATACTTTACTAATGTTATGATTGTCTTGCTTTTAAATGCTTTTCCTCCCCCCAACTCACTTTAGTCTGTGCTTTTATAAAGGTTATTACAATGGAGAAGCAGGATTAAATAATTTTCTCACACTTTCCCCACAAGAACAAATTTTACAATTAAAAAGGTAGAAACATAGCAATGATACCATTTCAGATGATTCTGAAGTTCCGATCAGCTGCTGTAATGAACGGTTATATTACACTATAGTTGAGAATCTAAGCTTGGAATCTGCCCATATTTTCCCACTGAAATATGAATATCCTCTATGCACTTAGGTGAAGACATAGGCAGAAGGAAATTCAAGAGTTTCTACTTGAAACATAATGAGATGAAGTCAAGGTATATTTCCTCTATCCACCATAGTGTACTGCATCCACAGATGTCATAATTCTGGTGATGACTCCAAAGTATCAACAACCAAATTAAAATGGGTTTGCATACAACTGCCAGTTGTTTAAGGTATATAACCTTCACCTATGTTATGTGGTGGTCCATGGACCAATGCCAATCTCTGAGCCACTGGCTGCTGCTCCTTGGCAAATTTCCATGAAGCAAGTGTAACCAATAGACACAAATATGTTATGAGTCACTGGCACACTGAGAAAAGGGTTGCCAGCCTCTCATATTAATATATGTTGGCAGCACTGCTCTAAATACAAATTTATACCTATATCAATTCCCTTTTATTTATTTGAAGACTATTTTCAAAGAAACAGTGTATATAATCAATACCTCAGCATTTAAAACTATTGTCAAGCACACTGATAATCTTACAAAGGGCATTTTAAATATATATATATGTTCTATGTCATTGTAGTAATGCTGTTCTACTTTTGCAAGTAAAGAGTTTGATTGCGCATTTAAATTATATAGTAGTAACAACATTTTCCTTGTGTAGCCCAAAATGGCATCAATCAGATACAAGAACACATGGAACTCCCAGATTTGTGGACTTTAAAAAACATTTGGGGAAAAAACACAAAGTGAACATCACAGCCCAGTGACGGCTGAATATGTTCAGTGGGGTACTGTGTGCTCATGGACTGTCCAGAAAGGCAGAAAACAAGAGTCTCCGATGTAAAGGAATGTTGCATCTTGGAAGAGGACAAGAGAACTCACTGCCACGGAGTGTGGTGGAGGCTCCTTCTTTAGAAGCCTTTAAACAGAGGCTGGATGGCCATCTGTCAGGGGTGATTTGAATGCAATATTCCTGCTTCTTGGCAGGGGGTTGGACTGGATGGCCCATGAGGTCTCTTCCAACTCTTTGATTCTATGAAAGTTTTCTCCAGATCAGTTATCATAAGTACATTTTGTTGCCAAGCTCATTTCTAGTTGAGATTACTGGCTAATGTTTTCTGGGCAACACTATAAAGCCATTTTGGGTTGTGAGTTAAGATCAGGGGTACAACACTTAAGTGCTTCTCTTATGTTTATGTGGCAAGTTATGTAGTATTGGAAGTCACACATTGTTCATGGAGCTTGTTTCCTGTGGCAGTGGACTGGGTCTAAAAATATTGGTTGACAAAAGAAAAAGGGGATCCACCCACAAGTATGAGGCTCTTGTATAATTTATGCGTCAGCCACACATAACCCAAATCAGAATTATTTTTTCCAGAATTATATAATATATTCTTTAAAATAAAATATCCTTAAAATGATATTAGTATTTTTATTAAAATAGTAATACAACATACATTTTAGTTGCTTACAGTAATAATGTAGGAACTTCTATTATATTTTAAAACTACAAAAGTTTATTAAAATATATAACATACTAGCTGTGCCCTGCCACGCGTTGCTGTGGCCTATAGTAAAACTTATCAAAGTTGAGGTAGCTATCTGGACTATTATGAAAGAGAGGTACCTACCTATTCCTTCCCCCTTTTCCTCCCCATTTCTCTCCTTTCTTCCTTCTCTACCTCTTTCTTTCTTTCACTACTTGGTTTCATCCTTCTCTCTTTCCTTCATTCCCTCCCCCTTTCTTCCTTTGCCTTTCTTCCCTCCCTGTTTGCTTCCTTCTTTCACTTTTTATTTCCTTTTATTTTACCACCATCATAACAATAACAATAATGCAATGCATTGCCTCTGGGACCTGACACCTCTCCCATTCCCCCAGGGTCTCATAGGAACAATAGCATAATAATAATAATAATAATAAAATAATAATAATAGAAATAACAACCTTTACCCGCCACGTGTTGCTGTGGCCAATCTTCCCTCTTTCTCTCCTCTTCTTTCTCTATCTCTTTCCTTCCTTCCTTCCCGTCTTTCCTTCTCTTCTTCCTTCTCTACCTCTTTCCTTCCTTCCCCCTTTTTCTTTCTCTTCTGCTGTCTCTCTTTTCTTTCCTTCCATCTTTCCTTTTCTTTTCTTTCCTTTTCTTCTTCCTTCTTTCTCTAACTTTCCTTCCTTCCCCCTTTTTCTTTACCTCCCTTTCTCTTTCTTCCTTCTTTCCTTCCTTCCTGTCTTTCCTAGATTTTGACATGGCGGGAAGGGGCGGGGTGGGGTTTGGGGTGGCGTGAAGTAAGTGTGTGTGTGCGGCGGCGGGGGGGGAGTGATGGAGCGTGGGGTTGTGTGTGTGTGTGCGGCGGCGGGGGGAGTGGGGTTGCGTGTGTGTGTGCGGCGGCGGGGGAGTGATGGAGTGTGGGGTTGCATGTGTGTGTGCGGCAGGGGGGGGAGTGGGGTTGCGTGTGTGTGTGTGGCGGTGGGGGGAGTGATGGAGCGTGGGGTTGCGTGTGTGTGTGCGGCGGCGGGGGGAGTGGGGTTGCGTGTGTGTGTGCGGCGGCGGGGGGAGTGATGGAGTGTGGGGTTGTGTGTGTATGTGCGGCAGGGGGGTGTGTGTGTGCGGGAAGCGGCGGGGCTTGGAGTGGGCATGGTTTCCGCAGAGGGAACGTTGGCCGGAAGGGCATGTGCGCGCGCCAGGGAACTTGCGGCTGGGCGCCAATGCGCATGCTCAGTTGTTTTGCCGTTTTGTGAGTGTGTTGTTGTGTTGTTTTTCATTTTGAGTAGATATGTTTGTACCTTGTGGGTTGTGTTATGGGCATGGGAATTTTGGTTAAGTTTCGTTGGGGGGTTTTTGAGTTTTGTTTCCTCGTTGGATGCCCCTAACAAATTTATATATATAGATTGTATAATGTGGACACCCTGGCCAGTCCACCACTCTCCCCTTTTAAGGCTGCAATATAATTTCATCACTAATTGCAAGCATATCTTCAGCAGAGGAATATAGTCCGGCATACAGCCCATGCATGAAAGTATATGTTTGTAATCCACACTTGGTTCTTAAACCAAGCATATACTTTTTGTTTTAAAGATGAAGTAAAGATAAAGGTTTCTCCTTGACATCAAGTCTAGTCATGTCCGTCTCTGGGGGGTAGTGCTCATCTCCATTTCTAAGACAAAGAGGCAGCGATGTCCATAGACGCCTCCAAGGTCATGCATGGAGTGCCGTTACCTTCCTGCTGAAGTGGTACCTATTAATCTACTAACATTGTCATGTTATCAAACTGCTGGTTAGCAGAAGCTGGGGCTAATGGTAGGAGCTCACCCCGCTTCCTGGAACTGAACTGCTGACCTTTTGGTCAGCAAGTTCAGCAGATCAAGCTGAAATGCCAAAGAAGGATTGGAATGGAGCTTCTTCAGAGTGACTCCTAAATTCACCCATCCCCGCAAATTAAAAGAACTTGTCATGATGGCGGTGCTGATGACAAAGAAACAAGCACGATAAAAACATGCATTGTTTTATATCATAAACATCCAAATGCAAAAAGCATGTCATGTAGCTGATAGGGTAGGTTCAATTGTAAAAATAAAAATGGAGGTGGTAGAATTTCAAGAAGTTGCCGGTTCCCATTAACCTTAATATTAATAATAGGCCGTTCTTAAGTCACTCTTAACCCTTCTCTTTTTCTCACCTGCATATTCTAGCAAGTGACAAGAGAGGGCAAAGGCTACATACAGACCAAAGCTACCACAGATCAAATAAGAAGAAATGCTTTTAAGACTAGATATTTCCTAAATCTTGTTCCTGTGAGTTACTAACATGATTCTAGGACTTGGTAGACACCCTACCATTTCTACAAATAAAATACCAGATATCTGTATTTTCCTCCCCGCTTTCATCATTATTCAGGGATATGAAAAAGAATCAACATTTAGAACTAAACAGAAAAGCATATTTTTAGCAGAAAGCTACTGCAAATATAACCAAGGATGTTTTTATTTTGCATAAGATGGATGAGAGAGAGAGGGAAAGTGAGGAAGGGGGGATGGGTGAGTTCTTTGAAACAGCTAAATATAAAACTTTTCAAAGTCTTACATCCCAGAAGACCATTAGGCCAAGCGGAAAAATAAATCAATGGATGGTGCCACTTCTAATAGAAACCAGACCAGAAGTTTTTGCCACAGATTGGAGAAAACATACAGGCTCCTTTCTTTGAAAACTGAATTGGGCATCTGACAGTGAAGAAAAATACAGGATTCACACTAGTTGAAAACCACACTGGCCGAGAAAGATGAAGGGAAATCCTGTTAGAAGCCTGACGATCTTTGTTGTGCTTTCTGCCGAGTATTGTTTGCAAACAGTACAGAACATGCCAGCTACGTAATGATTACCATCTAGGCTCTAACTGTCTAGCAGATGGTCAACAGCATTCTTGAACTTAACAAGGACTATTTTACCTGCAATTCAACACATGATAGCCAAACTGTTTATAAAATACAGGCTTTACATTGAAACAAGTCACTGTTAAAATTGTAGCATGTGTGTTCACCAACATTTGATGTTGACAACACATACAGATTCTAGAAGTTGAATGTATTGTGAATGACTGCAGCAAGGAGAGAGGAGGAGGGGAAGATGAAAGGCAAGTTGTTAATGCAAAGTCTGGCTTTAAGATTCTGCCCCAAGCCTGCCATTAAAATTTGAATAAAGTCTGCATGGGAAAGAGGAAAAAGGGCGTAGAAGATGGGTGGATAACACAGCACAATAAATAATACTCATGCAAGCCTGTGCTAGTTCAAAGAGTCATTTGGAGAACTACAGTTGTAACAGGAGAAGGATGGCTGGGTAGTTAAACCAGTATCCTCGCATGCAGCTGATTATATGAAAAACACCCGCTCAGCAATCAAACCTATTTCCAAGGCCTCTCTTGGGCTGCTACCATCAATGCACTTCATGCAGGGAGCCCATAAACCTATCCAGTCATAAATTAGAATGCGTTAACAGCCCAGAGTCAAGACATGCAAGGATTGCTACCAACTCAACTATTTAAAATGGATGGCAATGCTGGAGCAACTAGCCTCTAAAACAGCCTATAATATATTTAGTCTGAAGACAAGATGACACAGTGCATCTACACTGTAGAATTAACACAGTTTGACACCACTTTCACTGCAGTGGCTCAAGAAAATCAAAGGAGTTGTAATTTTACAAGGTCTTCAGCTTTTCTGCCAAATAGTGCTGGTGCCTTACCAAACTTCCATGATCTTAGTATTGAGCTAAGGCAATTAAAGTGATGTCAGATTGAATTAATACTATTTATTTTTAAAATTTATTTACCTATTTATATCCTGCCTTTCTCCACCCTGAAGGGGACTCAAGACGGCTTACATATTGCACCTCCGCGGTGCCTTAAAACATACAATGTTAACTTAAAATAACCAGAATTAAAATTAATACATAATAATATAATTAAAATACATTTCAATGTAATGTTCTACAATGTAGATGAACCCTTGCAGGTAAGATGACAGCAACCTTTCACTATTGAAAGGGATGCCAGGTAGAATATGGAAAGAACTTGTTTTCTTCTGCTCCGGAGACTAGAAACAATAGAATCAAATTAAAAGAAAACACGTCTCCACCCAGACATTGCCTAACTCACAGTTTGAGGCAGAAAGTGTGCTGCACGGACACCTGCGTTCATATTGCCCCAACTGACTGAAGAGATCAGTTGCGCTGCTATCAATGTGGCAAACACACCTGTCACTATAAAATGTATATGGGCTCCAATTTTGAGCTGCTGGAGGAGGTTTGAAAGACCAACATTTTAACAAAGTGAAACAAGCTTCTAAATGAATTAAACTAGAGTTGTGTATTATTATTATTACTACTACTACTATTATTACTACTAACACTGACTGCTTGTTTAAATACTCGTTGGAAGCAGTTTAACTTTGCAATGCACTGTTGAGCCCGTTGTAAACCCTGGCAGCCACCAGCTCAACTGGAGAAGAGGACAGTGCAGCTTTGTTAGATTGAGAGCAAGATAAAGGTTTGCCAGAGTGATTAGAAGGGACGCTCTCAATGGCAGACAAGGATCCCTTGCAGAGGGCTTTGGAGGCAGCAGCTGTCAAACCGCTTTCCACGCTTTCTGAACCTAACAAGGGTGCCAGTTATTAAAGCGCTTGAATCAACAAGCCCTCTTGTTGATTTCATGCCATCTGCAGCTTTTGATTATATAAGATCATTACTATTAATTTTGATTAATTTGCCTTCCTTGACTGTAAGCCTGACCAAGAAAGCATAGCACCACACGCTCTTCTTACCAGCTGTTAGGGCAGTTTTAGCTGTCTGAATTAGGCTGGACGATCGCACAATTCCTGAAATGCCTGAAGGGAAAGAGAAGGAGAGGAAGAATAAACAAAAACAGATGCTATGCATAGTATCATTTTATTATTTTTTCCCCAAAGGGTTAAAAGTTAAAGCTTTCCCTACCTCCAGTAACACAATAAACGCAGCATGGAAGCATACCTTGGCAGTTGTTCTAAAATAAATACTTGTTTGCTTTTCTCAGCTAGATAGCTTCATTCCAATGCTTTTTAATATATGCAACACAGACTGCATTTCAAGACATTCTGGGGGCTGTTCCACTATACAGAGACAAATGTGGGGCTTTTATACTGAATGTACCCTTCAAGAGGAAGCTGCTGGCTAATGGCTATTCCTGGTACAGCTCTTAGACCTATCTTATCATTCTTGTATTTAAGGATTTCTGGATGTTCCTTCAACTAGATGGATACTAGAGTAGGGTGTAACACTAAAAACATGTGATAAATTTTTTTGCAACATACCACATCACGCTTCAGATAAACAACAAAAGAGGCAGCATCCCATATAGCTACAACTGCAGACAGAGGCAATCATAAAACCAATTTAAAATGCCTGAGCAAATAAAAATGTCTTGACATGGAGCCAAAGGGGTATCAAAACTGGTAATAAGTTGAACTTCTCTAAAGAGTGGGTGGAAATGTTGGAAAACCACCCTATAAAAGCCACTCTGTGGCATATAAACATAACATAAAATTATTGACAGTACTTCAAGAACCTCATCCAAAGATCTTAACAGATGGGCAGGGCTATATATGTTGCAGCACGCCTTCACGGTATTTGGCTCATGAGCTGTTTTTAGTGTTTTGAAGGTAAACAATGGCACCTCAAATTGCTCTTAAGAGGCAGATATAGTTCTTCTGATATTTGGTGCAATGTGACTTCATCTAGGCCAGGGCTCCAGCAGCCAAATCCGGCACAAAGTGAAGCTCATGAATCATCTTCAAGGGGAGGCCTGTTGAAGATAAACACTGCAGAAACCCAACCAGGAAGTTATCGGAGTGCAATTTACTGTAGCCAAGCTAATTCTGTCTAGAAATGAACCCAGTTGGCAACTACCCAAGGCTGATAAAAGTTTTTCTACAACATTTAGGATACTTGGGCCTCTGAAGAAAAATCTGAAGCAAGAAACACCTTGTTCTTCCAGGGGACATAGAATAGACTGATCATCACTGATTCCCTGGAAGCCAAGATTACCTATTCACAATGCCCTTGTTTCATCATGATCCAACTTTTTGGACTTCAACCAAACCATTATCACCTCCAGAGAGCAGTTCAGAATCTGCACAGCCTCACAGAACTCCAGCAACCAAGGAAACAAAATCTGGATGCCATTAACACAATGGAGACACAGTGGGCCCTCCGTACCTACAGGTTCTGTAATCGTGGATTTAACCAACCACAACTTGAAAATATTTGGAAAAAACATTCAAAGAGCAAAAATTTAAGTTTTCAGATGAAGACAAGCATTACCATGTTGGCCTAACATTTCCAGTTTCTTGATGCATCTCAGAAAAAATTAAGTTATTTTCCCTTGGAGATGCACTGATCTCAAAATGAGAATTATATACATTCCATTTCCTCTGGTTAAATCAAAAGGACTTAACTAATTGAATCATGGCTATAGTTTCAAGTAACTATAATTTATAACAGCATGTTCATGGAGTAACTGACACTCTTCATAACAGCTTCTTCATTCTCAAACTTCGTTGTCAACTTAGAGTCACCCTAGAAAGAACCTACCACAGGGTTTTCTTGGCAAGATTTGTTCAGGGGAAGCTTTAAAATACAATGTTGATTTAAAAGCAAATAATAAAAGTATTGCAGCACAGTGGGGAAAAACTTCTGGAATAAAAGGCATCTTCATCTGTCAACCCTATCAAGGTGGTTTCTATTTTCTACACATGGGAAATGGAGACTTCAGAAGAGGAACTTCCCGAATTCATTCAACATGTTTCTGAGTCAACAAGATATACAAGTATATAGATTTTAAATTGCAAATACGGTACGGCATCCATTAGGAATGATTAGCTCTCATTTCTGCCCCAAGGGCCAGGATTTTGCTTAGCAGGCAGCAATTACTGACTAGGAGTCAAAGAACTGTGCAACTATTTCTGCACATCCGTGGCAGTTTGCCCACAAAAGCAAGAACCTTGAGATAAGGAATAGGGAGCTACTTAGCTAGAACGGGTGTGTGGGAAAAACCCGACCAGGCATGCCCAGCCCTGTGACACACCTACTTTGAATTAGTTCTTTAACACAGATGCCAATACTTCACTGGAAATCATCAAGCCTGCATTTCCAGCTGTTTGAGGCAGTCACTCATTTAAGAATGAGGAGTCTCCTCCATCTTCTCATTTAAACAAGAATTTTAAAAAATGATTGAAAAATGTTACAATGGCAAAAGTGATTTAACATATTTAAAGTTTTAATTGGGTTGTTGTATGTTTTCTGGGCTGTATGGCCATGTTCCAGAAGCATTCTCTCCTGACGTTTCACCTTCATCTATGGCAGGCATCCTCAGAGGTTGTGAGGTCTGCTGGAAACTAGGAAAATTGGGTTTATATATCTGTGAAATGTCCATGGTGGGAGAAAGAACTCTTGTCTGTTTGATGTAGGTGTGGATGTAGCAATTGGCCACCTTGATTAGCATTTAATGGCCTAGAGTTTTCATGGCCTGGCTTCTATCTGCCTGGGGGAATCCTTTGTTGGGAGGTGATTAGTTGGTCCTGATTGTTTCTTGTCTAGAATTCCCCTGTTCTTGAGTGTTGTTGTTTATTTACTGTTATGATTTTAGACTTACATTCACACATACCTCAAACAGACAAGAGTTCTTCCACCCTGGACATTCCACAGATATATAAACCTCATTTTCCTAGTTTCCAACACAACCTCTGAGGATGCCTGCCATAGATGCAGGTGAAACATCAGGAGAGAATGCTTCTGGAACAAGGCCACAAAGCCCAGAAAAAACACAACAACCCAGTGATTCCAGTCGTGAAAGCTTTCGACAAAAACATATTGTTAAATGCTGAAGTCATCCCGACACTGAGTTTTTAACACTCATGTCTGTATTACTTGTTATTCCTTGATAAACCTACCCTGATGTACTACTAATCCACAGTCAGGGTCATGGGCGACTTGCAATAAAATTTCTTCCACATCCCTGTTCTTCCCTGGAGGGTCCACGAGAGACGTTATTTGCTGCTGCAGAGTCCTTGGGAGAGCCATTAGCTGTGCAAACTGACCTTCTGGGCTCTTATCTATCTAAAGACAGAGGGGAAACAATTAACAGAGAATGCCTCTTGTCATTTGGAAACAATGGAAGATTTTAAATATCAGAAGCCAAATTCATCATGGAACTGCTGAACGTTCTGGCTCCATGCAGAAAAGAGGCCAGCACTAAAACACAACTACATACATTAGCAGAAAAGGAAAGATTTATTGCCAGACTATTTGACCATTTATTTTTTTAGTACTATACTGTGGCAGCTCTGCAGAGAATCACCGAGGAGTTTTTCACATCACCATTGATTGAGCCTTTTAATCCCTGATGCCAGGGATTCAACCTGAAATTTTCACGTGTTCCGCTACTTAGCAACTGTTCTCCTTACTATTTTCTGTGCATTTTACAATTTATGGGCACACCAAAACATATTTCAGATTTATCCAATACTTCATATTTATTCAAACATCAGAAGTCTCCCTCATGACCCAAGCATTAAAAAAACTCTTCAGATTAAAATGGAAGCCGTAGTGAGGGATGTCGGGGCATACCAGACTCCTACCAGCCCCTTCAAATTGCTTCTAGAAATTTGATTTTTAACTTGTAACTGCTGTTTTGAAACACTTTACCTTAAAACAGCCAAAACAGCGACTAGAAGAATTTCAGAGTGACTTTTATGCACCAGAAATGTCATTTCAGTTCTCACAACCCTATTGATGTGGACCCCCAATCCCCAGCACATATCTACTACACCTTTCCAGAGCCTCCAATATGATTCTATGGTATGTTTGTGGCCCAGGTACTTTCAAAATACAAGGTACACTATTATTAATGGTTTCAGGTGTCCATGTGCGCATGTCTGGGACTGTGTCCCCCATGGATACAAAATTGTAATGCATAACCAGGCTGTGGCACAGCTAGTTAGGAGCCAGCTGCATTAAATCACTACTGACCGAGAGGTCATGAGTTCGAAGCCAGCCTGGGCTGGAGTGAGCACCCGGCCATTAATAGTCTAGCTTGCTGTTGACCTATGCAGCCCAAAAGACAGTATCATCTATCAAATAGAAAATTTAGGTACTGCTTTATGTGAGGCTAATTTATGATGCCATAAAACCTTTCAGCAACATGCAGAAGAATGAGGAAGTACTCAATCAAAGGATGGTGAAGTGGCAGCTCCCCTATGGAAGGAATCGAGCATACCCTCATGGAGCCAGAAAAGCTGGAATGTTAAATTGCCTCTGTCTATATATGTTGCATGTCTAAATGGCATTGAATGTTTGCAATGTGTATGTGCATTATAATCTGCCCTGAGTCTCCTGCGAGGTGAGAAAGGTGGAATATAAATACTGTAAATAATAATAAATAAATAACAACAAAGGGAAGAAGAGTGACAGACAACACCAGTTAATATCCTACTTCAGCCATGGTCTCAATTGCTGGCATTAGACAAACTCCATTAGCCTTCAAAATAATAGTAGACAAAACACAAGAGGAGAACATCCAGCTTTTTCTCATCAAGCATTTGCTTGCTCAAAATGGTTCCCTGCATGTTTTCCCAGTGAAGAACACATATATACTGGTATCTAAACAGTAGCTAGAGCTGCCATGGGAAATAGAAAGAAGAGTAATGCTGGATAGGTCTATCTAAATTTCTTATCTGCTGTATAACATCATGTATAAATCTAGAAATTTTAGTCAAAAAATCAACCCAAATAAACTGAGTTGATTGATCCACTGGTCATTATAAATACAATATCTTAACTCCTATAAAAAGACAATTCCCCTTTTCTGAGTCAAACAGCAAAAGGTGAGAGCTTTGTCCAGGAATTGTCAAAATGTGGCCCTCCAGCTGTCTGGGCCTCCCGGAAGCCCCAGCCAGCTTGTTCACTGGTTAGGAGTTTTGGGAACTGGAGGCCCAAACAGCTGGCGAGCCACAGTTTGAGGGTGCCTGGCTTGGTGTATCCCAGGAGAGCCTAAAAGACCTGCCTTACTTTCTCTGCCATGGCGCTACTTCTGGCCTTTTTGGATGCCTGGGTGGGAAGATAGCATCAGTAGCAGCCAGGGCACTGTCCCCCTGAGATTAATTATGGTACTTTCCCCTTTCTGTAGCCTGACTTACCCATAGGTCATATCAAATAAGCAGTTATGGCCCAAAAACCTGCCTTCAACTTATACATGAGTATACATGGTAACCCAGTTTTGTTTTTCAACAATGGGCAAGGATTCCCAGAAGCAAAACATGGGCTGACTTGCCATTCACGTACAGCATAATTGCTTAATATTGGTGAAGTTAAAAATAGCATTTTTTAATTCACATTTTTTCTGGTTTCATGGGGGTTTCACAATTGGTGTGTAGAGCGACTGAAAATGGAATATATATTCATCAAGACCTCCTGTTTCATAGCACTCACGTTAGCACTCTAGGGTTTGCATGTATAGTGTGTACATGAGCATCCATGAAAGAGAGAATTACATCTGTACTAACTCAAGATTTTATAAAACCAGAGACTGCCAAACTCTTTGTGACAAAAACCCAGTTTTGCTTATTGTATTGAAGATATTCAACTGTGTTTCCAAGGCAAATGCAGTTGCCCTGTGAAACTGGCTTACAATATAGAGCTTTAAAAGCCAGAAAGTATACATGTGATACAAAAGTCTTAAAAACAGTAAATAAGTTATCCAACTAAAACGGTATTTTAAGATATTGATTTAGAAAAATGAAAATACAATAGGCCCTCCACTTTTGTATGGAGAATCCCGTGAAAAGAGGTCAGTGAGGGGACCAAATGATTCTCCCTTCTGGATGGAGTCCCACAGCCTAGAAACCATCAATAACAAAAACAATAAATGTATTACCTGCTTCTCCTTGCAAGAAGGTTCTCTTCATTGTCCTAGCCTGACAAAACTGGGAGAGTGGTAGGATGGAGTAAAAGCCCTCTTCCAAAGACTGAAAGGGCCTTCTAAGGGAGGCAAGATTGGTCTACTTCCTGCTGTCCTTCCACTGATACTCAAAGACCTCGTTATTTAGATAGGCTTTCAATAACTGATTGGCACCTGTTTAAAATTCTTTCCACAAACTGGTGTTGTAGTTTATAGATGCGTTTTGAAATTGCTTTTTCAAATCAGTACTGCTTAATGTAACAATAAATAAATAAATAAATAAAATCATCTTGTTTTCACACTATGGTGTGACCCTCATATCAGTACAGGGTATGTTCCAAGACCCCTTTAGACACCTGAAACTGTGTATAATAGTAAACCTTACATTTTAACTATACTAGGTTTGGAAGCATACTGTAGAACCGCACTGGAGGACCTAGAGAGGCACATAAACACTTCCAGGAGAGGGCTCGGGCAAGTGAAACTGTGGAGATCAAATCCATGGATAAGCTTTATGCGTATATTTGTATATATTTGTTGTTTGGATCAACAGTTGTTTTTAATCTTGTTGTAAGGCAACTTCATTCTAGTTCTGGCAGAAATTTAAGATATAAATAATGTCACTAGTATAGTCATGTCATATTCATTACTTCCCAGAAGAGGAGGAAAAACATAGACATTGTAGCATAGTTAGTTTTGTTTAAAAGCTTACGACAATTAGCTGCTTACCTCCAACCTGCCCATCTGATGCTTGTACACAACTTGTGGACAATCTTCCAATATGTTACTGTACAGCTTCTGAAAATGTAACATGTTTGGCTTCACTATGTTCATTACCTTTGACTTATCTTCTCCAATTATCATTCTGAAGTCACCTAAACAAAAGCAAATGATCAGGACACATACTATCAATAACAACAACACAAAGGTCTTAAATACACAAAAAGACATAGTCCTTGGAACTAACTAGCAGTAATGAAGCTATGAGTCTGGAAGTAATGCATACCTTCAAGAAGGAAAGCAAATGAGGAACATTATGTATTTCCACAGGAACCTCCTATGCTCCTCATTCTGCCAATGATGCCTTTGCATTGGACCTACTTCATTAATTTTAAGTATGACTCAAACTGATGGACCACGCAGAGGAGAGGTGCACTGTGTGTTCTACCATACAGAATGGCAAACAGTGACTGGGAATACCTAAGTTCAATCCTCCTCTAAGCTTACAGTGTCCTCTTGATACTTTAATTAACACAACCAATTCTACAGGATTGTTATGAGGTTGGGAAGATTACCACTTTCAAATGGTAATCTTCCCAACCTGATGTTGGATAACACTAGACAATATCCATCTTCCCCAATAACTTGCAGCCTTAAACTGAGCTGATGAGACCTATGTCTGTAGGTTCTCACATTTCCTACCAGGAAGCGACAGTGGTTACACTTCTAAAAAGCAGGTTTGCTCATGCCTGTCTCACTTTCAAAACAACTTGTTGTCGTTGTTGTGCCTTCAAGTAGTTCCCAGCCTACAGAGCAAAGTGACTAAAATGATCAAAGGTCTGGAGACCATGCCCTATGAGGAGCTTCTTAAAGAGCTAGCGGCCCTGGAGACTAGGACTTGGAGCAATGGGTTCAAAGAAGAAACATGGATTTTGTTGCCATGTTGCAGCAGCATATCTTCAGTAAATAATAAAACTTGAGCTGGGAAAGAATGGGATTCTGATGTAGGCAATCCTACCATGTTTCCCTACAACAAACAAAGTAAAGAGAAACTACCTCCAGAATCCATTACTGAGCATGCATGAACAAGAAAAACAAGAGAGGAAAGATGCCCCAACCTTTATTTCCCATATGTTAGAAAATCATAGATCTCTATGTCTAATCAACAACATAAAAAACATAAGAAAATGAAAGCTTGTGAAAGTAGAAGTCATTATTGGATGCATTTTGGAAGAAGTTCTAAAGTGGTCTCCAGAAAATTCAATATGCTTTTTCTTTACTCATGCATTCTATATAAATAAAAATGTAATGTTCGTTTGTGGCATTAACTTAAGTCAAAAAACACTGGACGAATTGACACCTTGACATTTGGGAGTTATAGTTACTGGGATTTATAGTTCACCTACAATCAAAGAGCTTTCTGAACCCCACTAACGACAGAATTGGGGCTAACTTCCCACACAGAATCCTCATCACCAACAGAAAATTCTTAAGGCCATCCAGTCCAACTCCCTTTACCAGAGCAAGAAAACGTAATCAAATCCCTCCTGACAAAGAGCCATCCAGCCATAGATATAGATAGATAGATAGATATGATTCACACACACAAAGATATAGTATCATAGATTTGAAAGGGACTCCTAAAGGACAATTATATGTTGCATGTTCCAGAGTAGGCAAACCACACAATCTCCATATCAACACTGACAAAGAAACAGCAAGAAATACTGTTTACCCACAAGCAGAAAGAAATTACATATATTAGAAACCAACACTTTCTCATTACTTTATTTTCCAGATCACCAGACTGGGCCACAGCAATGCGTGGCAGGGGACTGCTAGTTTTATATAAATGCATTGCTTCATTTCATATGTGCCTATTGCTTGTTTTGAATAAAATGCAAACTGAAATATATTAAACTGGTCTTCAGGCATTGAATGTTTGCCTTTTTGTACTGAAATCCACCTTGAGCCCCTTTGAGGAGATAGGGCGGAATATAGATAAAAGATTATGATTATGATTATGATTATTATTACTATTATTAATATTTATATGTTAGGAACCTATCCCTGCTTTCTTCCTCATATTATTTCTTTTAAAGAATTAACTCCCAGCAACACATTTACTTTGTTAACTGAGATATGCCTGTGTCAGAAAAAATTAAAGGGGCAGCACTTGTAATATTTAAAATGCTTTAGCAGTTATTTAGAAAAAGTGAGTAAATTCATTGTCAAATTGCCAGATTATTGTCCCACGGGCAAAACAAAGGAAGACAAAGGGGGTTATCATTTCTTTTTTACTTTGGATTTATTGCTGAAGTGTCAGCTTTGGGTCGGTCTTACGCAACATTATCTACTGTTGCATGTTTCTTATTTTACGTGTGTGTTTGTAAAGAAAGTCAAACCGAGTCTACTCACACATGTGTGTAATGCTGGCTATTATTCGATTCTGTGAAGAAACAGGAACAGAATCCAATAAACACAGTGGGAACTCATTTCAGGGAAAGAACACAATGTAAGAAGCACCACCAAGAATTGTTGTTGTTGTTGTGTGCCTTCAAATCATTTCTGACATATGGCAACTCTATGGCGAGCCTATAATGAGGTTTTCTTAATAACGTTTGTTCTGAGAAGGTTTGCCTTTGCCACTCAGAATACTAACCACATAAAATGTTCAACAGCAGGGGAACTTTTGGTAATGTGAAATAAAAATTCTGAGGCAACCTATAACACCGATAAGCTATTTCTAAGGGTGTAAAGAAAATCTATGCCGTATTGTTTTTCAGTTAGATGCGTCGATACAGAAGCATAACATTTGAGCTTTTCCCTGAAACAAAAACACCTGGGCTATTATTCAGCCTTGTCTGGCAAAAACCTACCCTGGGGAAGGTCAGAGGTAGTTTGTCAAAGGATTTCCCAAACCACAAAGTAGCGTAATATACTCATTTAGCTCCAAAACATACTGTGCCAACAGAGTTTTCCTCCAATTTTGAGATTGCTGAGTTAACAATCCTCCACCATAATGTACTATTAAAATCTGTAGTTTCCCCACCAGAGATAAAAAGTTAATACACTAAACAAAAATCTGTCAGTTCAACTGGCATTGTAAATCTAAGAAATAAACCATAAGTTGCAATGCACATCACTGCCAATGTATGCACTTGCCCGCCTTTGTCTTTCTTTTCCCTTTGCTGAGCTCTGGATTAAATGTTAGCTTTACTTTGTTTCAGACTTCCAGCTTTACTGAGATGTTCCTAATTAGTTCTGGGGTCTGCTTTTTGTCTGAACCCTGCGTCATATGGTATAGCAATGTTCTGCATTGCATTTTAATGTATTCATTTATAAAAACATGTTCCCCCACCTTTGAACTCAGTGACTCCACAAGGCAGCCTCAAATATAATTGGATGATCATGAAAAATACAGGCCAATGTAAGTACAAACAAGCAGCAGTGACCAAAAGATGTAACTCGCCAAAGCTGGAATGAGAAATCTTTGTGAATTGTGGGGCAGTTACACTGAACCCCATTCTGTTGATGGCAGAGGAAACCACAGAATCACTCTGCATAGTTATCTCCTTTCCTTCTGAAAATACTTTTGCTCTCCTTTTTGTGCTGGCATTGGTTTCCCTTTTCCCCCCACTGGTGTAGCTTGCTAGCAAACAGAAAGTGGATAGTGAGGGTCAAAACAACAACCAGAAAGGAAGACAGGTTCACTTAACCAGAGCTACTTCAAAAACTATCTAAAACTTACAAGAGAGTGGAATATACTTCCCAATGCAGGTTTTCCAATCCATACTGTTAGTCTAGGCCACTAGATTTCAAATGACAAAAGAATCTGGAGCAGGGTCTATGAGAAAATACAACTACCTTCATGTAGGAGAAATGTTGTAGGTAACAAGTGAAACCTGGTGTAGAGCTAATTTTGTTTATTCCAGTGGTTTTTCCATTTGTGGAGGGTCAATCTGCCAATCATTCGCAGCTGGTCAATAAATGTTATTAAGGCGACTTTTTGGCAAGAAGCACTACAAGCCCAAAACAAGATCTATGGATAAGCTGAAGCTAAGGTTAATAACATACCTTTCATGTGAACTTCTTAACTTTGTCTATCTCCTTAATAAAATAGAGGTTGAAAGTCATACCAACCACTATACGAGAGTCCAGCAATCTGCATATAAAGATCTTCTTCAGAAAAACTCTCAGGCAGCATCAGAAAGGCTGCTGTGATGGCACTCTTCAAGTTGCTACTGAGGGCAAGCTGCAACTTCAGATTCTCATTCTGTGTAAGGATTTTGACCTGGAAGTAGTCAAAGTGCAGCCAGCAATTAAGTTATTTATTTACTTCATTTATATCCTGCCTTTCTCCCCCTCAGAGGACTCAAGGCAGTTTACAACTCACATACAATTCAATACCAGCAAAATCAACAGTAAAAACAATAACACACCCCTCCATTAAAACGGTTACTAATTAGTCAATACACACATTAAAACAGGTACAAAAATAAAAACAATAAAATATCAGAACAATACCATCCAGAATGACCAGTGACAGAATGAACGAGAGCAATGGTTCCCTAAACATTGGTTCTCCTGGTGTTTTGAACTTCAGATCCCAGAATTCCTAGCCATTGGACAAACTGGCTGGGGCTTCTGGGGCTGAAGTCAAAACCAACTGGAGGACCTACGTTTGGGAATCACTAGCCTAGGGGCATATTTACTTCCTCGTGCTCCATCTTAAACAAAGCCTATCTCTATCTTTGTAAATAACAGTTACACAGAGCAAGGCTTCTTAAGCTATGGATCCCGACCCCAAATGGGGTCTCCTTAGCTCGATGTTGGGGTCCTGAATTTTTTTTTCTGAACATCATGTAACGGCTGTTTTAGACATTTACACAAATCTGTTGTGCAGTGGACTCTGCAGAAAATATTTCACCTGTACATAAAAGGGAGACTCAGTCTGCTTAGCAAGCTTTGCAAATACTGAATTGTCATCAGTAAATGTTTGATTTTTATATCTTTTTATATACCTATATTCCTGGAATCAGGTAAAAATTTCTTGGGCCAAAAGGGGTCCTGAGAAGAAAAAGTTTAAGAAATCCTGATATAGATCCAACAAGGAGAAGATGCTTAAAATCAACTGACTATTGAAAAGGTGCACACTGATGTAATATTGTTGTTCTCTGATGCAAAAAATATATATAAATAAAATAAATGCATATCTTACTCAAAGTGTTTTCATCTGATGTGAGCAAACTATTTAGGACATGGATAGATTCATCCACAGCAATGATATGGAAGTTTTTGTGCAACTATGCTCTTTCCGTCCTTTGCAGATTTGGCCCAGAATACTATAAGAATAAGCTCCATCTCTAACCCAATTATCATTTTTTGCCTTTTAAAAAAAATCTGAAACATGAATATAGAGCAAAGGAGACAGCTGGAGCTAGATGGAAATGAAGGAAAGCACTGTTATTATAGTCCTCCATTTCACAAAACATGTGGAAGGTACTTGGGTGGAAGCGAGGCCATGACAAAGGGATGATTGTATCCAGAATTTGACAATTGAAGATATATACATGTATTTCTGAAAACAGCCCTGGAGACCCAGAACGAATCTGTGGGGCATACAGTATCATTATTCTTCCATTATCTTCTCCCCCTGCATTCAAAGTGTGGTTTTTGTTAGCGTCACAAAATCCAAACCATCTGAATAGTTAAAGGTAAACTGGTCCTGGGGGAGGCTATCTGAACACATGTTTTCAATTTGCTCTCCTACATGTTTTAAAAGTCTAATTTTACAAACAAGCAACTTGCCCCCCTTCTCCAAGAAGTGGGCAATGGGAGGGGAGTCAATACGATCCTCTAGAACAGAAAATGGCAGCTGAGAAGACAATAGAGGAGCACCCTGGGAGACAGCTGCTCTGCTCCAGCCCGTCTGTCTCTAACGGCCAAATTACACGCAGTCAGTTGAATCGCTGAGTGACAGCTAGTTCACCTCTACTGAGAACAACTGTGTTTGCATGCTCCAAAAGCCCCCATCCTACTAGTTTATATATTATGGTCAGATGGAAAGGAAAGAAGCATAAACTGGGGAGCATCCAATAAAATCCACAAAAGGAAATGGAGACACATCTCAGGGTTCTCAATAAAATGTAATGATTTCACATCATGTTACAGTATGCAGTTATATTATGCATTCATGTGTTGTCTTTTTAGAATTTTATAATCACAAAGAGGACCCTACAAATATATACTGGTCAAAATGGTTGTATTGCTCTTATCCTTACTGCTGCTATATGACCTATGCACTTTACTCACTGGCCGTATCCTCTAAATTGTTGTGCACAAGTCTGCCCACCCATAACAAGGCTTGAATTATACTATTGTTGTTGGTTTTGATGCTTGTTTTATATATTGTTATAATGTTGTTTTATATTGATGTTACGCGTTTTATTGTGTTATGTTTTAACTGTTGATTGGATTTGGTCCCATGTAAGCCGCCCCGAGTGCTTTCGGGGAGATGGAGGCAGGGGATAAAAAGAAAGTTGTTATTGTTGCTATTATTATTATTAAAATGCATAATCAAATACAGTGGGCTCTTGCGTTTGTTCCTGGACACCCCCCCCCCCCCACCCTCCGTGGATACCAAAACCCATGTACGCTTAAGTCCCGGCATATACAATAGCAAAGTAAAATAGTATCCCTTCCATAAAATGGCAAAATTAAGCTTTGCATTTGGGACATTTTTCAAGCCATGACTGGTGGAATCTATAGATGCAGAAATAATGGGTAGGGAGGGCCATCCTTTGAGCACCCTGAAATATGTCTTCAGTTTCTTCCATAATTAAGTAAAAAGTGTAACCCCATGAATCAGGAATTTGTACTGCCATTTTAAATGAGAAAGTCAAAACAAGTAAATTTCTCTTTACTTGTAATGTGCTCATTATATTGGATTCATGCAGCTAGGCTCATCATTTCCATCATCCTGGGGACAGGCTCTGAGAAAATACTTTAAATTATGTTTCCCACCTATTATATGAGCCTCTGAAAACAGCCCACGCATACCAATCCTCAATTGTTCACTCTGAAGTACTCTCAAATGAGTCCCATGGCACTTCCTCCCATCTATATGCCCATAAGCCTCAGTATCACAAAGCATGGGGTTTTAAGAGCACAATGGGGCCGCATCCCACACAGTCTATTTATTTTATATGCCTTGCCTACCCCTTTCTGGGACATTTGGGCTTTCCTGCCCTTTAATGAGTGCAAAAATGGAACAGTCCATCAGGCTGCAATTCTCAAATTTGGTTGGTATGGAAGAAAGAATATAAACACTATTGTCTTCAATGCCTGCTGTACATATAATATTGCCCTACCATATTAAAAAGGGGGAGGGGGGACTAAGGCATAGAGTTTCCAAGAATAACCAGAAAGACTGTATACTGGGACAAACTAAAACCAAGATGCAACCTGGCAGCACAATTCATTTTCTCATAACCTGCAACTTAGGAATGGTTCATCTGATTGAGTGTGATCAGATTAATCCCATTGTCCGTTTTATCAAATAATCATACTATTACATTGACTTGCATATTTTTATATCCATGACAGCCTTTTCAACAGGTGTTTCCTTCCCAGGCTTCAGTTACACACACACTGGGAAAGGTCCTTAAGAGATTATAAGAGCTATTTCATGTCTCTATTTCCAAAACATTTTACAGGTTGAGTACTCTTTATGTAAAATAATTGGAACCTGAGGTGTTTCAGATTTCTTTTGTCCTTATGGATTTTGGAATACCTATATATGCATAAGCATATATAACTTATGCCTGCAGTGGGTTAAACCACTGAGCTGCTGAATTTGCTGATCTAAAGGTTGCAGATTCGAATCTGGGGAGTGGCATGAGCTCCCGCTGTTAGCCCCAGCTTCTGCTAACCTAGCAGTTCAAAAACATGCAAATGTGGGTAAATCAATAGGTACCGCTCTGGCGGTGCTTCGTGCAGTCATGCTGGCCACACGACCTTGGCGGTGTCTATGGACAATGCCGGCTCTTCAGCTTAGAAATGGAAATGTGCACGAATCCCCAGAGTTGGACATGACTGGACTTAATGTCAGAGGAAAACATTTACCTTTATCTAAATGTAACTTGGAGATGAAACATAAGACTAACTATAAAATTCACTCATGGTTCATAAAAACCTTATACATATGATGTGAAAGTAATCCTATACACAATATTTTAAACTATTTTTTTTGCATAAAATAAACTTTGTATAGACGAAATAATCAGAAAGCAATGGTGCCATTATCTCAACTACCTATATGAACAATTTTGGAGAATTGGGGAATCCAGATAAAGGATGTTCAAATGTTCAGTCTTTGCAAGCTAAAATCATTGAGTGGCATTCTCTTCCATATAGGCAGGATCCTAAACTGGATTAATGACCTCATTACTGTGTGGAATTCTAATTTATGGTTGTGAACAACATGACCACCAAACCCTATGTGTTCAGCCTGATAGCACTCCAACTGAAGGGATCCCAATGTGCTGCAGATCATTGCACTAGGCAATGACATGCATCACTGTCCAACAAGGACCTCTTCACAAGGTCCAAAATTTGGTGGCCGAAGCAGGGGGTTTTGACTTCAGCCATTGAGCCCAATGGCTCCCATCATAACCTAGAAAAGTACTTTCGGGTGGCTCCAAGACTGAACTGCCACAAACACCCTGGTGTCACAAAATTGCACGTGGTGTTCGACCGAAGGCTCCTCATCTTTCCCTTAGGAAACACAGGTCGAGCCGGCTCAAGAAGGCTTCCCCTCATGTGATGAGGGGAAGCTGCGACAGTGCGGGGCAACAGGTGTCCATGCCCCTGCATGGGCATCGCCAGTATCACCACAATCTGTGACGATACACAATGGCCCTTCATATTTGCAGGTTTGACTTTTGGGGATTCAATTATTCATGGATTTAATTAAAATGTTATCTCTTGCAATCTCTAGGTCCTCCAGTGCAATTCTATGGTGGGCTCCCAGAAGGAGTAGTTGTGCTAAAAATTCCTAGAGAGGCATTCCCTCTGTTTTTCCCTACTCACAGCAAATGTGGAAGGCTGGCTGTATTTCACATTTAAGGGGTGCCTTTTTCTTCTCTTAGCTTTATTTTACAAACAAAATGTCAGTGTACTGAAATGATGTTAGCATCTCCCATATTAAAGGAGAGGGATTATTTCAGGGGCAGAAGACATGTTGCCCCAAAAGATGATTTTTGAGACCTCAAAACAGCCAAATTCTTCTGC